CGCGGCGGGCACACAACGCGCACGTGGCGGAACAACGCAACGGCACCACAACAACGCAGACGGGGCGCCACGGCAACAACACGAACGGGAAACAACGCACACACGGCGGCACAGCCACCAGCGGTGTGCAATAGCACGGCACACGACTTCGTTCACGTTGAGCGGCGCGGCCACGACGGCATCGGCAGCGGCAGCGGTAGCGGCGACGACGGACGCCGCGGAGACGAGATGACGCCGACAACAAATACGTGCACTGCTATCATCCATCCCGACCCAGTCGACCGAGTTCACCTCACCGTGCGCTTGCTGCCTCCTCACCCAGTTCACGCAGTGCGGAGTCCACCGAGTCCATCTCGATCCATGCAGCCGACCCTACCGCGCCGCTACCTGACCGCAGCATGCCGCCCCTTCTGTCTACCACTTGTGTGCTGTTTTTTTTTATCATGTGTCTACCATCTTTCTCCTTTTTGCAGGCGCTGGAGGACCGGCGGCCCGCAAGCCCGCGGTCACGAAACCACAAGCACCGGCATCTCCAGTATTACCAGCAAGACCACCACCTCCGCCACCAGGACCACCACCGTCACCTCCTACACCCACAAAAGAGGGAACGGACGCGCATTCACCACCGTCAAAAGCAGATTCATCTGCGGAAGGAACCTCACAGGGCAAAGGTAAGACATTAAGGGACTCCAAGAAAAAGCCTGAGGAGAACAAAGAGAAATGCAGTGAGGATGAGACTGACCATGACAAGGTTTTTGATTGTCTTCAGAAGCAGGAGGACCTTGCAAACGCAGGGACAGGAGTGAACCAACCGGACGGCTCCGAAAAATACGACGGAAAGGGTCCTGTGGGTGTCCACGGAGCTTCCCGTTCCATAGAAGTATCGGCGGGGACCTCCTTTACTGCTCCCGTAGTACCCCCAGGTACGAATAATGCACAGTCCGGAAAGGAAGAAACAACAAAAAATAAAATAAAATAAAAAACAACCAACACACAACTTTTCCGGAGCCAGAAACCAAACGTCGAATGAGAATGATGGGCAGCGTCAGCGGCAGAGCGACAGCGATGGGTCGGCCGCGGGATGTAGACGTCGACGTCGACACAGACAGACACACACACACACACTGTGTGTGTTGTGTGGGACAGAGAGACTCTTTTCCCGGAGTGGCACCTGCCACGCCGTCCCAATACACGGGTCAACCTTAAACGACGGACCGTGTGGTCAACCATGGGACCAATCACCGCACAAAACATGAGTGTCATCCTGTTCCCATTTGTTCGTCCAACCATTCAGGTGAAGCAACAACAGTGGATTCAACAACAGACGCCACTCAACCTGACAAGTCTAATCAGGCCGGGTATAATCCTAAGGATGTGAATCCTGTGGCAAGTACTAATGAGGATGAAGCGAAAGAAAAACCAAATCAGGAGAATGAACAGAAGGAAGGAGCAAAGGCTGCGGACACTGCGGGCAAGGATGTTTCCTCCGTGAAGCAACCCAACACCGAAAAGAGTAGCCCTTGCTCAGGTATATCGGACGATGAATATGATACAGGAAGATGCGGTTTCACCTTATTTGACAAAAGCAGTCCCCAATGCCCTAATGGGCCGGATTCCACCTCGCCTGGTAACTCTGCGGGTGGTGTTGGCTCCACGCAGATCCAGAATCCTGGTTCTTCGGGACCAGGTTCCACGGCAGTATCGGGTGATGGAAGCAGTCACACAGGAACACGTGGAGGACAGCAAGGTGACTCGGCCTCCAGTTCATCCAACTTTGGACTACCTAATTTTGACTTAGCTAACATGATTCCCAAGGGACCCAATGTTCCTGGGGGTGGATTCGTACCCCTTAAGCGGGAACATGTCACACTGAATGAAGACAATGAAAAATTAATGAAACAAGGACCTCCGAGTCATGGCGGTCCTGATGGACCCGACCTAACCGCCGACGTCCTTACCGCCACTACTCCCGTACTCTTCTTCCTGTCCGCCGTCACCGTCGCCCTACTGGGTTATTCCCTTTGGAAGGTAAGCACACATCCACACAAGCGCACACACAACGCACATACGACGCGACACCGTATATGAGCATCCGTCATATGTACCATTAGAAAAGTGTTCCCAATGGGATGTTTTGTACGATCATTCTAGCACAAATGTACGCCTACACCCGCGTTCATTCCTTTTATCCTACCGTGCCCACCCTCGTCTTTACCCCCCTTTTTCTGTTTAGCATTTTGCCTACGTCGCCAAACGACGACGCACGTTTCGCACCGTTCGTGACGTGCCGTCACCGCCACTCGACGAAGAAATTCTAGAGCATCTACAACGCGGCGAACTAACGCCACGCGATTACGGGTACACCCTGGTTAGGGATACGCAACCTGCGTCAACATCCGGTAGAGGCCGCTCACCACGCGTGCATAAGCGCACGCTTATCGAGCTACATCTAGAAGTGCTACACGAACGTGAAGCGGCATCTTGGGAAAACGTCAAAGACGACTATTTGCAGATTGTCGTGCAGCAGTTTGCGCAGGATTTGATGCGGTGCGGCCAGGGCTATAGTAGTTCCACGGTGTGTGCTGCGCACCTCGATTCACCAAACGACGATGCGACAACGCAGTGTCCACCCACCAATTCCGACGGACCGGACGCATGCCCATTGCATGACCCCGATGCATGGAGTTGTATGGACAGCATACAGTTCGCAACGGACCCTTCTGCATCTAACGAAGAGGACCGATGGCATTGTATGGAGACCATACAATTAGACGATGAACAACATGGCTATTCCGACCACGGTGACGCGACGTCGTACTGCGCCCAATGGATTCCCTGGATTGAACAACACAAACATATTCTGCGGGACTGCACGACGCAGCCGTGGTTTCTGCAATTGAAATCGGAATGGAAACAATACCTGCGCGAGCACATGGCGGCAAACGCCGACCACGGGCACACTGCATTAGGTGAGCGTCGCAATATCCCATCCACGGCAAGGAAGAAAAGGCGGTTGTGGAAAGAATGGGTAGCGCAACAACATCGGCAAATGTGTATGTATAACGCGCAGGAGTGGTGCCAACATTTGTTGAATAGTGTAGAGCAGGCGGCAGTATCGCACAACGGCCAAGCACCTCGAGTTGACGCAGCCTTAGCAGTGGACAAAGTAATGGGCACAGCAGATGTTCTAAGAGTGCGAGATGTACCGCGGTCACAACCACTGCATCGGCAACCTTACATGAAAAAACGGGCAACCGCTCAAACATGGATACTGATCCTGGCATTAGTCATAGAACAGTGCGAGGTCGAATGTCGTTTGCAGGAGAGGGAGTATTATGTGGATGATCTATTGGAGCAACTGTGACATTAGGATGACGGCGCATATGCATGCGAAATAACGCATGCTATCCGTACACCACTTTTACTTCATTATGTGGTATACATAATGTATTTCCCGTTTACATTATTCCATACCTTCTTTTTTTTTTTTTCTGCTCTGTTCTGCGTACTTGTGCTTACTTTTGCCTTGTTTTGTTCTTTTTCTGTGTAGTCCACTTCTATTAATATAACTATGGGCACAGGGAGGTACCGGTTAAATGCATAACAAAACGTAGATTTACATGAATAATATGACGCCGTAGTCTTCTCCTTTATGTGAAGTGAATTATTAAAAGATGAGCACCTGCATTCGAAGGGTATGGTGTAGCACTAATATAGAATGCGACTACGCATTCGCGTATAAGGAGAGATTGTCTCTCCGCGCAAACGCGGCCGGGTAAACCCATTGTCCGAGTACCGCGGCCGCGTGTACGAAGGCGGAGAGATTGTCTCGCCGAGCAAACGCGTCGACCAACGCGGCCGAGTGTAAGAAGGATTCGACGAAGTAGCCCCGGGACGGGGAGGCAGCAACACACATCTTATGTGGCAGGGAAGAACGCCGGCAAGAAGGCGGCCACGAAGGCAGCAACCTCGCCAGCAGCATTGATGTTGTTGTCGCTACTGCGGTTTGGTTGTGTACGCACACAGAGAGACAGTGTGTGTGAAGGCGTGTAGTGAAAAAAGGGTGTAGAAAGGGCGGGGGGTGTTATTCATGACGGTGTTGCGTGAGTAGGTAGCGTCGTAGTACTTGGTTTTTCCAGTTCTTCTCGTTACTTTTATTCTTGTTTTTTTTCTTCCCTGTGCCCTGTATTTGAAATTCCCTTTGACATTTTTGGTTTGGGTCCATGCTGGCTTCTACCTTTATGTGCTTCATTTTTTCTGTTTTTATGGAATATTTGATTGCCACGCACGCAGCAGTGCACACAGACTGAAGCTGTATTAGGGACTAAAATTGGACGCCACCTCGACTTCATTTAATATAACAACAATACGAATAATAGTAATGTATAGGTATTTATAACGGGTACCGTGTATTTCAGTGACCAGTAGTAATATGGGATCGGTAGATTTGGCGAATGCATTGGCGCAATGGGTAATCCGCGCGGGGATTCCCGATCAGGACAAGTATGAGGTAGGCACATACATGCATAGAACAGCAACACGGGGCGTGCAGTGCCCTGCTGTTATTGGTACACGTGAGAATGCAGCACATCGGGGCACATAGCATTCAAGCACAAATGCGCATGTATATATTTCCTGTGTTTCTCTTACATTGTAGGAAATGGTGTGGAACAAGACTAAAGAGGTCATGGCGGAATTTGTGGACTACATGCAGAATGACGACATAATATCGTATGCAACGCCCTGTGGTAACGCAGGATGGGAGCACCAGAAATACCCCGCCGGTGTGCGCGGAGTAGGACAAACGGTGGGCGATAAAATTGTATGCGTACTTATGGTAGGGGCATTATATTTCATGAATGGGTGGAATCGTGCAGAACAAGTTAGACCAAAGGAGGATGCAACCAATGAAAGCATAAGGGAGCACTTGCGCTGTATAATAGTACATATGTTCAGTCAAGTATTACACGAATCCGTGTGCAGAAGTAGGTGGGCCACATTGTATGCATGGTACTCGATGGTAGAATTCGGACAGGGGGACGGTGTTGGGGGAGGTTTAATAAAGAAGGGAACATGTGGTAGAAACATATCTTCGGATGTGCAAATAAGGGAAGTTAAGTTAAATGAAAAAGTCAAACTATGGTTAGGGCAAAATAGTACACTCAAAAAGGCAATACATAAAATAACAGGAAATACACTGTGCAAGACGCCGTGGCAGGACGAATGGAACCTAGAGGACATCCTGGGGAAGGGGCAAGCAAATGTAGCAGATGCGGGGAGATTGCGAATTGTTACGATGGTGAAAAACTTGGAGGGAGAGATGAGGGAACTATTGACGGCAATCGGAAAACAAGTACAGCAAGAAGTACGAGACCGGGAAGACGCGAAAAGGAGGGAATTAGGTGAGACAGGCGAGGTTTGGGGATCCTCAGACAGCTTCGAACGCAACAGGACGGATAAGTACACACACGACAACTACAGACCGTTTCGAAGTAAAAGGGGAGGTGCAAAGTGCAACGCGACACACGATGGACAAATGTGAACGACGTTCATTCCTGTGTCCTTTCACGAACACAAAACGTACATACTAACCCTTGTAATTCCTATTTCTTCCTTTATTGCAGCGAAGGATGACCAAAACGGGGAGGCCGCCACGACGACTACTGTGCCGGCTGCAACAACAGGATCGACAGGTAAGGAGCGATGGGAGAAAGCACGAATGCGACCACTACGGCTGCACACGAATACTACGCACGCATGGCACGGCCACATACGGATATGCGGCGGAACGCCACCCCCTCGTTGAGCCGAGCAAAGTGGAGGCCACGACCGGCGCGACGAGCGTACCGTGTAGCGGCGACGAGGAAACGGACGAGGCATGCACAGGCTGCGAGATAACGGAGCGTGACGGCAACAACACATACAAGTGTACTGCTACCATCTAGCCCAGTTCACCGAGTACACTGCGTCCACCTCGACCCACTGCATCGTACCGATGCATCGATCCATGCAGCCGACCTTCCGTGTCGCTACCTGACCCGACCGTACCACACCACACCGACCATTTCCTTCCTTTCGTTTTCTTTTCTTTCTTCTTCTTCTAACACCGTCCGCTTGCGGCCGCTACCTGACCCCACCGTCCCGGCCCCCTTCTTTCTGTACCACTTGTGTCCTTTTGTTGTTTATCATCTTTTTACCATCGTTCTTCCTGGTTCATTTGCAGCGAAGGAGAAGGAGAAGAAGAAAGAGGCAAGACCACCAGAACCTCCACCAGCGCAAACACCAACGGAACCACCGGTCGCAGGAGGCACACCAGTAGGGCAAGGACCAGGACCTGGACAACAACCCCCACCACCACCAACAGGTAACACGTGTACAGAGAGTTCCACCAGTACGAATACTAGCGCATCCGGTGTTAGCGTAAGCTTCGGGTGTACCTCAGACAAGGAGTTAGGAGTTCCACCCAGTACAATCCTGCCTCCCCCTGATCCTGCACCAGGTAACAAGTCGTATGCATCATAGTGCACATACGCACCCTACGTACCATTAGACCGAAAAAACAACACACAGACTCACACAATTTTCCGCAGAGCCAGGGAGAGACAACACGGAGAGCGAGAACCCAAACGTCGAATGAAGCCCAGGGGCGCAGAGAGCGAGCGACTGGTCGGCAGCGGGATGTAGACGTAGCCAGATGTCGCCACACACACACACTGTGTGTGTTGTGTTGTGTGTTGTGTGTTGTGTTGTGTGTGTTGTGTGGGAGAGAGAGAGAGTCTTTTCCCGGAGTGCCACCCTGCCCCATCGCCCCGTCTCCCCGCCGCCTGCCTCCGTCCCCTCCGTCCCCGTGGCACCATGTGGGCAACCGTGACATTGTTGTCAAGGATCGGTTGGAACCGTATGGCCAACGAACCATGCATTCATCGTAACAAACTTCACTGTTGACACTTATGCTTGTTCTTCCCTTAAACATATAGGTAATACTGCATCCAAGGATACAGAGAGTAAGAATGGGACAGAAGCCGGATCAGCACAACCAACATCAGGACCCGCACCAGCAGCAACACCAACGACGCCAGCACAGGGATCATCAGGATCATCAGCAGACCCAGCACCTGCACCACAACCGAATGGTGCGTCGGGTGGGGAACGAAAGGGCGGTGCTGATGGAGCCGGAGAAGGCAGTGACGACGACTTCTCATGGGTAGATAAGAACCCATGGGGAAATAGCACGACAGGTGCCGGAGCATCGGCATCCGGCACAATGCGATTAAGGCCATCGTCGAACGGAAAATCTGGAGCATCAGCTGCAACATCCCCGACAGACCGTAAGCAGTTCGAACTTGAACTTGCTTCACCTGCACTCAACATACACGGTGCCACAGGAGGATTCGTGCCACCGGTTCCAGCAGCTGGCACAGTCAGTTCATCGGGTGTAACTCCAGGTGACTATGCTGTCCCAGACCTAACCGGCACGGTCCTTACCGCCACTACTCCCGTCCTGTTTTTTCTCGCTTCCGTCACCGTCGCCCTTCTTGGTTATTCCCTATGGAAGGTAAGTATACACGCCAATGCGGGCATGCCGCATGTGCAGGATGTTTATACCTCAGAACATCCCTACGGGTTACCATATATGATCGTTATAACCAATATATTCCTACACCCGCGTTCACTCCTTTTATCCTACCGTCCTCACCCTGCTCTTTACCCCCTTTTTCTTTGCTTAGTATTTTGCGCACCTCGCCAAGCGGCGCCGAACATATCGAACCGTTCGTGACGTGCCGTCACCGCCACTCGACGAAGAAATTCTAGACCATCTACAACGCGGCGACCTACCGCCACCCGATTACGGGTACACGATGGTTAGGGCACGACGTCGCGATAAATTTGCCGACCGACGACGACGTCATCCACGCGTGCATAAGCGCACGATCATCGAGCTACATCTAGAACTGCTCAACGAATGTGAAGCGACCGCATGGGAAAACGTCAAAGACGACTATTTGCAGATTGTCGTGCAGGAGTTTGCACAGGAGTTTGCGCAGGATTTGATGCGGGACGAGGAAACGAATAACAATATCTTAGATGTTTCTACCTCGCACGCCTCTGTAACAACCCACGATTCAACAACCGACCATTCGACAACCGCCGATTCGACAACAGACGACTCGAAAACCCGGGATCCCACGGAAACGGATACATTCTCACCTAATGAGGACGACCCATGGAGTTGTATGGAATCCATACATACCGCAACAGAACAGAGTCCCGCTACTGGTCCCGAGGACGCGACGTCGTACTGCACACAATGGATCACTTGGATGGAGCGTAACAAACATATTTTGCGGGCGTGCACGACGCAGCCGTGGTTTTTGCAATTAACAGCGGATTGGAAACAATACCTGCTTGCACACATGGCGGCAAACGACGACAACGTCGTCTCCGCGCACCGTGAGTTCCGTGACGCGGCAACCGTGCCGATGATGAAACTGCGGTTGTGGAAAGAATGGGTAGCGCAACAACATGAGCTTATGAATATATATGGTGAGGAGGCGTGGTTCCAATACCTATGGAGTAATATCGCGCAGTCAGGAGTAGTAACAGAGGAAGACGGCATGCCGGAACAGATACGAACGGTGGAAGGAGTGAGTCACATACACACAGTAGATGAAAAACCCACCACATTTGTAACAGACCAGGGGCCACCTGTAGAAAAAGAATTAAAAGTAGAAGGAGCACTGGAAGGCGGATCAGCTTTGAAAGTGCGACATTTACCACAACAGCAACTGCATCCGCAACCTTACATGAAAAAACGGTTAACCGCTACAATATGGATGCTGCTCCTTGCATTAATCATTGAGGAGTGCGAGCTCGAATGTCGTTTGCAGCAGACGCAGTTATATGTGGATGAACTATTGCACAAGCTCTGACATTCGCATGACGGCGCATATGAATGGGAAATAACGCATGCTAACCGTAGGCCACTTTTACTTCATTATGTGATATACATAGTATATTTCTTGTTTGTACTATTCCATACGTTTTTTTTTTCTGCTCTGTTATGCTTGTGCTTACTTTTGCCTTGTTTTGTTCTTTTTCTGTGTATTCAACTTCTATTAATATAACTATGGGGACAGGGTGGTACACGTCAAATGCATATAAAATGTAGATTTAAATGAATAATATGAAGGGGCAGAATTCTCCTTTATGGGACATTCATTATTAAAAGATGAGCACGTGCATTCTACGGGTATAGTGCACAACACACATAGCATGCGCCTACGCATTCGAGTATAAGGACAGATTGTCTCTCCGAGCACACGCGGCCGGGTAAACGCGATTGTCGACGAGGTAGCCGAGTGTAAGAAAGGAGGGAGAGATTGTCTCTCCGAGCAAACGCGGCCTACCGTAAGACGCATTCGAGGCCCGATTCGACGAAGTAGCCGCGTGTAAGAACGGCGGGAGACATGGTCTCTCCGCGCAAACGCAGGCCGAGTGAAGCAGTTCGACGAAGTAGCCGAGTGTAAGAACGGAGGGAGACATTGTCTCTCCGAGCAAACGCGGCCGGGTAAAGCACATTGTAGCCGCGTGCAAGACGGATTCGACCAAGGATTGTCCGAGTGTAAGAAGGAGGAGCAGATTGTCTCTCCGAGCAAAGGCGTCGACCACCGCGGCCGGGTAAACGGAGATTGTCCGAGGAAGTAGCCGCGTGCATGAACGAGGAGATTGTCTCTCCGAGCAACCGCGTCGACCAACGCGGCTCGCGTGTAACAACGATTCGACGAAGTAGCCCAGTGTAACCACGATTCGACGAAGTAGCCGAGTGTAAGAACGGAGGGAGACATGGTCTCTCCGAGCAAACGAGGCTGCCACCATACGCAAAATCACCACTAGACCAAGAAACAACAAGTAAAGACAAGCCGATGGCGGATGCTGTAAGTGCAATTATAACACACGACAAGTATGGGGAACCAGCAGCACGAGTAATGGGGTGCATAAATGTTTTTGTAAAGCGTGTGAGCATACTGTGTGGCCCCGGCGGACGTGCCGGTATAGTGTACATTGGAATATCGCATAATCCCCTTCTCTTTATGTTTTTTTTTTCTTGTCTCTTTGTCTTTTTTTTACTTTTTATTCGTAATGTAGGATGAATTCTGGAGAGGTCCGAAAGGTACGGACTTTATTTCAAAGCTAAGGGTAACGTGGGTCCAACAGTATGGAGCGGGAGGGGCCAAGACAGACATACAAATTAATGTAAGTGTACAAAAATATGGTGGAGTCATATAGGGGTAAAACCGGTGCACAGTGGTGTTGGATACCATGTATATAGAACAATGCATATATGGTATAACGTTCCATGGGCGCAAAAGAACCGAGCACGTATGAGCCATATATATACATATATGTTCATCCTCTTCATTTTGCACAAAACAGACAGCGATGTGGGAAAAAATGGAAGCATTGCAAAAAGAGATTGCGAAGAACATGAAAGGGGAGAACGATAAGGAGGACGGCATACCTGAAACATTGTGCAGTACGTATCAAACCGGAAATGAACCAGTAAGTGAAGAGGACAAAGCTAGGTGTGCACTACTTGCACGAATAATGTTCTACATCGACGGGTTAAACGGTGAGGGTTCAACAGTCGATCAACGACGGGAAAACACCAATATGAAACAGATAGAGGACGCAATGAAGTGTATAATAGGCAGTGTATACATAAGGAAAATAATGAAGCTCGCATGCTGGGAGCAGCGTATTCGCGAACATGCACTGAACGCCGTGGACGAACATGTAAATGAAATGCAAGGCACAAGCAGAAGCAGGAAGTGTGTGAATTGGGAATTTGGGAATACATGCGTAGGGGGTTTTATTCCTGAATCGAAAATTACGCAATGGATGCTGAGCGATAGAACTGTTACGGACAGAGTGCAGGACGCTGCACGCGATTCGTCGTGTGCAGGACAGGACTGGACACGTAGGATACAGGCCACGGAACAGCGCGCAAACGAGGGCATACACGCTACGCAATGTGCAGGAAGTCAAGGCAAAGCACATTTCAATGGTAAGTGCATGCTGCGTACAATGAATAATCATCAGGACGCAGGTAGAAAGCATATTCATGAACATTCGGGCAGGCCAAAACAAGTGCAATGGAACAGTGGGCCCAGGGGCAATATCCGATGGATGAAGCGGCGGAGGCGAGCGACCGAGCTGCACGAGGGAGGACGGAGCGGGACGGCGAGTATGTAGCGACGGGAGCGGACACGAGATGACAGCGACAACAAATAAAAGTTGTACTGCTACCGTCCACCTAACCCGACGCATCCGAACAGGCCGCCCCGCCAGCCACCACCCCTGTCTACCAGTTCTCCTTTATCATCTTTTCATCCTTCTTCCTCTTCTTCCTTCCAGCGACATCAGGACACGGGGACCAAGGAAGCCCAAGACCAGCCGCCGCGGCCAAACCAGTAGCGGCGAAACCGGCATCACCACCGTCATCGGGGACGGGGGGGACGACGTCAACGACGACGGCAACATCTGGTGGTGGTGGTACTGGTAAGGGCCGTGATGCCGCTGCCGGACCGAAGGAAGGAACGAAGACGGCCCCAGCAGGGGAATGTCAAGGGGACAGATTATCGGAGTGGAAGCATAAGCCAGTGTACGTGGTGCAGCCACATAATGTAAGTTCGAGTAGACAGTGAGCACGGAAAGAGCAAGAAGGAGGAATAAACAGGCATAGAGAACCGTAGAACTGGTCCATAGGGTGCATGCAGATATAAGACAGTGCATGTTTCCGGAAATTGCAATGTGCTTGACAGGTGAACATACGTATCCCTCTATTTTCATGTACATAATACAGAAAGACCATCTGCAAAAATTGAATAAAGTGTTGGAAGATTTTAAAGAATACATGGATGAACACAAAGACAAAGAACAAGCATATGGTGCCAACTGTTATAATGCAGGTTGGGATGATATAGACAAGGACAACGTCCATTACATGGGCCAAAAAGTGGCGGACGTAGTACGATGCAGATTCATGACTCTTGCATTAGGCTTTGCAAATGGGTGGACAGCCACAAAGCAGGATAGGAACGACACAGTGAAAATGGATCCGGAAGAACAGAATAGCCTAAGATGTGAAGTAGTGAATGTATTTGGACACCTACTGAGACACAGGTATTGTCCACAGCAAGAAAAGTGGAGAAGAGGTACAGAATATGCCGGTATAGCATTCAAGCAGATGAAGAGTCCCGAGCAACATGGACACGGAGGACTGGGGGGCCCTGTAATGGAAGGGAAGTGCACAATGTGTGGGTATGGACATAATAAACAGCACGTAGACGCAGTAAATTTGGACATAGTAAACTGGTTGTTGCAGCAAACCAAAATATTGGAAGGCATGGAGCAAATAGAAGGGGGGGCAGACTGTAATACGAAGTGGAAGGAGTATACAGCAAACAAGAGGAAGGACGATGACAACAGTAAAGTGGACGAAAAGAAAATCACTGAAATAAAAGAACAGGAAAAGGAGGTAGTGGAGGCGGCAAAAAAGACCATTGAGGACTTAAAGAAAAAGGTAGAAGAGGAAATTGCACACAAGGCAAAGGCGGCACCGAACGGTAAGAATATGGCTCATAAGCACACGCATCATACGGCCGCTACCTATACGGCCGAATATGAATGGCACCGCCGCCAACAGCAACACGCACGCACGCGGCGGCACAGCACCACACTTCGTTGACGTTCAGCGGGGTCGACCACGACGGCAGAGGTAGCGGTAGCGGTTGCGGAGCGGCCGGAGATGAGTGCCCACGGCAGCGGAGACGACATGACGGCAACAACATAAAAGTTGTACGGCTACCATCTAGTCCAAGTTCACCGAGTCGTACATCGACCCACTGCATCGACGCATGCAGCCGACCCTACCCTGCCACTACCTGATCGAACCGTCCCGGCCCCCTTCTTTCTGTGCCACTTGTGTCCTTTTTTTTTTTTATCATCTACCATCTGTCTTCTATCCTATAGCATCAGACCAGAGCAACAAGACAGGCCAGGACTCCTCTCCGAAGGCTTCAGGGAAAGAAAAAGCAAGTAACGGACCACAGGGAACAGGCACCACACCATCAGGAACATCAGCAGATACATCAAACCTGGGAAGGGCAGATGTCACACCTGGACGAAAGGACGGGGGTTCCCAACCACAAGCACCTGCATCCCCAGTCTTACCAGCAGCACCACCACCTCCTGCTCCACCACCAGAACCGGCACCAGAAGAAGGGAAAAACGGAGCACAAGGTGATGCAGCACCGGCACCACCAGCAGGAGCAGAACTAGGGCGCAAGGGTGATGCAGGACCAGCTGGTCCACAGGGAGAAACTGGAGCAGAGGGTGAAGCAGGTCCAACCGGACCACAGGCGGATCCCGCATCAGGGGCAGCTGCGGGACCCGTACAACCACCCCGACCTGCGCCACCACCAGGCCGGCCTAGTGGAACAGAGGATCAAGCAACCACATCACCACTACCCGCAGCTCCACAGCCGCCTAAGAAGGACGACACTACCCCAGTTACAGCACCGGCAGCAACATCTCCAGGTAAGGCGACATGTCCTGGTAGTAACGGCCCATCTCCAGGTGTCTCCATTAGTTGTGAGACTACCTCGGATGAGGTATTAGGCATGACACCAGAAGTCACAAAACTCCTGGCGCAGGACGAGAAGGAGCGGGCAAAGGCACCCATTAGTCCTAACCCAAGTTCAGAGACAGGTGAATCTAGCAGTGTGCACGCAACACATATGCACTAATAACAGTAGTGAAAAAAAAACAAAAACCAAAAAAAAAACACA